CGGTATCTGGGGAATAAGCATCGGCTAACTCTGTGCCAGCAGCCGCGGTAATACAGAGGATGCAAACGTTATCCGGAATGATTGGGCTTAACATAAAAACATTATCGTTTTCTCAAAACCATATAAAACCGTGTTATAACATTGACAAAGATAAAAAAAAATTAAAATTAAGATGTATCTTGCTGCATTACATGATTATCCTTCTAATCATTCAAAATGTATTAAAGCTTTTCCCTCCCCATGAAAATATGTTGAAAAACTTTTGTAATAATAAAAACCTATTAAAGACTTGTGCATTAATTTAACAACTCTTTGTTTGATATGTTTGTATCTATGTTTTATGATAATTATTTGATTCGTAAATGTTTGTTTGTTTTTCAAATATATGCTCTTTAATTACTATTTATTGTACGTATATTCACATATGAATATACTAATGCTTATTCGAATTATAAATTAACAACAATAAAATCCAATCCAATTGTTGTTAGTAGTTTTGCTGAGTTGCGTGTCCCAAACCACCCCTTTTTGATGGATACCAAGAAATGAGTTATCCGAATGTCTTTTTTAATGTTGGAAGAAACTGCAAAATTCCAGAACCAGATTGCGACAAATGATAGATAACTTTTATATATATATACAAGTTGTGTATCCGTGCAATGTGACGGAAGCCATGAATTTTAACGATTTTGAAATTCCACTGGTTTTAGAAGATAAGATTTAACCATGATATATATTACACTTGGTCTTTACATATTAATACAATTTGAATAAATAAGAGTTATGGTTCCAATTACAGACTATCGATGAAAAAAATTGTATGACAATTTAAAATCCAATATATTTAAAATCCAACATATTTAAACGACTTCACAAATGTGTTCGATTTACACCAAGAGTAAAAGAACTAAGAAACTTGAGTTTTAAGATAAACACTCAAAATCAATAAAGAAAACTACAAATTTGACAGATCATAAGCCATGAAAAGACAAAAAAAGATGGGTTTTATAATGAAATTTCAACTGCTTACTCTCTTTCTTGTTCAAAAACTCAAATTAAGGTTGAATTAATACATGTATATATCTATATATTTTTAAAAAAAAACCCAAGAACATATTATACAGTGCAATTTGGACAGCCTAACCCCAAAATATATAGTATATATATAAATAAATAACTATAAAAGTATAAATCGTAAATATTAAAAATATTTTTTTACAGTATATATAATATATAATAATATAATTAAGTAGAAAACTATTCAATATTGGACTCATTTCGAAGATATTAGCGAGACGATTATAATAGTGTAACTTGTTAAAATAAAAATGTATTTTTTAAATATGTCTTAATTGACATACGATTATGTATATTAATTTGATAAAGGTTTAAAATGAAACATTTAAAAGTAAATGACGTAAAGTAAATTAATTAACTAATTATAGGGGTATAAAGTGTAAATTTAAAATTATAATTTTAAAAAAATATGTTGTGAGAGGGTGAGTGTATGTGAGGGGATGAGTGTATGTGAGGAGAGGAGCGGGTGAAAAAGTGATATAAAGGGTATCTTGGTCATTTAGTATTTTAAGACTTTAAGACTTTTGTTAAATTTGCTTTATAAGATAGTGTATATATATATAGGGACAAGATCAAATGTTAACCAAAGTTTTTGTGTTAACTTTGCAAACCATGTCAACCAATCACAATCCATTCTTCTATTAGGTTTCTATCATGTTCACAATTTAATGCCAAGGGTAATTGAGTAATTTTATTTGCTATGTAACTCCGATACTATTAAAGGGGAGTTACAAAATCATAAAATCTCTAAAAATATACATTTATAATATTGATATTTTTATTTATTTTTTAATCTTGATCTTTAATTTTTATTGTTTTATGAGTTTTTGATTCATGGATGAAACACGGTAGTAAAATCTTAGGTATCGTTTAAGCTATTATGGATAAATGCATTGGATAATAAATCGACAACATTGAAAAGATTAAAATGGTTTATGGTAACAATAGAGTTCGAGTTCGGAAAGTGAATAAATTAACCAAAGCGAATGTCTTGGTAACGGATTAATATTTTAATAGACTCGTTTTAATCGAGATTATGTTCATTATGATGTGTTGTGTTTTTTGTAGTTCATATTGCGTTGATAACTTTTTTCTTTAATTATTAATACGTAACTAATTCACATGTTCAAATGGAAGTACATGCACGACCTATTTTCATATTGTCATATTACCGATTTTTATGAATCATGAACCATTGTGTTCATGTTACTTCTATAATATGAACACAAGTGTTATTTTTTAAACTTGATACCAAATCTTTATATTTGTGTAAGTGTTTGTACTCGATGTTCATAGCGTCGGGGTTATGTGTTCATATATTTTATACGATATGAACAAGGGATGAACACGATATGAACAAAGGGTGAACAACCATATAAGACCAGAAACATATATGAACAAGGGGTTAACCTTAAACGGTGTGGATGCAATGCATGTATAAAACTCCAATTGACAAATGATCACTCCTGAATGTGTTTATAATGAAGGAACTATTGTTCACAAGCTGTTCATATTGTGTTCATACTTGTTTTTCTATTTATTTCATTTCGTATAACAGTTATTCTTATTATGTTCATATTGTGTTCATAAATGCTATGCAATCCAAGTTTATATATATGTCATTTTTTGTTCGTATTTGACATAATGGTTCATATATATATATATATATATATATATATATATATATATATAGTTGTGTTCATATGATTCTTACATTAATAAAAATAAATTAACAAAAATCATAAAAAAAATTGATTTTGCAACTCTCAATTAATGTTCCGAATGCAGATTGTGTTAGAAGGAAAAGTAGATCGATGACAATTCCTAAGAAACAAGTAGACACACAACACGATTACCCGAATGATACACTCTTTTCCTCAGTACCGATTAACAATATTTTAAGCATATCACAAGACGAATAACATTTAGAAAAAAGTGCTCCATGTAGAATATGTACATCCCACCAAATGGATTTTTAAAAGACCATTTGTTCTCTTATGGGAATTTGATACCCAAATGAGACATGATCGAACCAAACTGGATGGATAGGGACGAGGTAAGGCAGATGAAAGAATTGTGGAAGGTTTTAGGTTTTAATTTGACATGGTAATTTAATAATTTACTAATTTTGTTCCATTTCCTTGATTTTTTTGTTCCACCTCTTTTGGTGAGACAAAAAACTGTATTTTTGTCCGGACTCAATCCTATCCCAGTCTAATGTCACAACAACCATGGAACAACAAATTTTTGGCAAGTCTTATTTTGTCATGTTCAGTCCAGCGAACCAAATTCATCAAAATTAAGGGTGTGCGTTCCACTTCCCCCTCTAATTAAAATCAACAAATGCTCAAAATACACAACTTTTTTGGTATAGTGAGAACAAAGACCACCATCCACCCACACACACACACTTACATTTACTTCCGTATACCTGCTACTATCACCATGACTGAAACTTTTAACAAATTCGCCCATGTTTTTTGTGAGCCATCAGATGAAGATACACGTTTTTTCTAAGCCATCAGATAAGAAAAAACTCATTTCCAACTCTATGTTGGGGCTCATTGGTTCAAAGGAACAATTTTGGGGAACTATAATCATCAATCACTCTCTTACAGAACTGGGATTACTCCAAAGAAGAAAAATCTAACCTCTTCAGTCAAAGTAGTTGTTTGTAGTCCGGAGAATTACCGATTATTTTATATCCACGATGAGGTAGCCAACTCGGCACCATGCTTCTTGATTATCTGAACCGACTGCAGAAGAACATCTTGCTCTGCTGAAAATAGCTTGTCTTTGCTCTGCAATGAGACATGCCAAACACTGTTACCATTCACTTTTAAAGAAGGAAGAAAATAGTGGATGAACTCCATCAGAAACATACAGGAGTTCAACATCTAGCATACAACATACTCCCCAAGTCCCATAAAATTGCAACAATTGTGTGATTGTTGGTTGAATGTCTAAAATACTCTAAAAAATTGCAAAACAAAATGAATCTTGTTGACCAAAATCAATACCATCAATCCTTCATAATGATGACAGTGAAAATGTTGTAAAATTTGTCCAAGGAATGGAAACATTTGGACCATCCCAAAATGGAAACATTTGTTATTTTTTTGGGACAACCATCTCAAAATAAATGCGATGATTTCCTTTCTAGGATGACCCAACAATATATACGAGATTTCATTTTTTTGACGAAGTTCCAAATTAATAAATCTTTATGTTTATGTAATCATTACAAAAAAAAAATTAGCATGATTTGGTCCATTAGATTCCCTTCTTTTATATCATGGAAGGGCATCTTAGATGTTCAACTAATATTCGAACATGTTCATTGAACCATATGTATGCATTACAGAACACTTTATTATTCGGAACAAATGGAATATCTGTGGAAACGTGTAAAATGAATTTACTAAAGCATCCATCATATTTTGCATTTGATACAATATAACAAGTCCCACGGGAATTTCAGATCAAGGATTCAACTCACAAGCTCTAACGAGTCAAAGCACGATCTTACAATAAGTTATAAAAGATTTGCTTCCAAAGTGAACAAAATTTATTCTTGCTAGCAAGCAATTTTCATTTTTCTACCCACCTTTAAATCTACTATGCTTTCTAGCTTTTCCTAAATTCTTAGAAGGGAAGGAAAGAAAGTATAAAGTGAGGGGAGAATGCCAGCAACAAGATCATACAACTAAATTATAATTATCATTATTATAAATAACTATCGGAGCTCTGACCATTTTCTCCATCTTTGTGCATTTCTAACATTAAGGCATACCTGTAAACACCAATCCACACTAATACACTCCATTGCCAATATTACCATCCATGGTGAAGGATAGATTGTTCTTTGGATATTCTTTTCAGGAAGTGATGCCTTCGGTGTAAATTGTATTTTTACTGTTTTGCATACTGAACAGGAAAACATACAAATAAAGCATACCATAATTCATAAAATATAGTTATGATCATGCTAGCGGGTAAATATAATCATGCTAGTAGTAGATAGCACATAATTCATAAAACTATGCACGAAACTAACAGTTCAAGTTCAACCACGAAATATTATTGGCAACCCAGCCTTATATCTTGAAATGTATTGAGAAAATGTACATACCATCTGTTTTAGGTTGCATCCAAGACTAAGCTCCGCGAAAGATCTTTCCACTCGAGAGAGATAACAATATGGCTGCTCCTTTTCCAAGAAAACATTGGAGTTAGACTTCATCATGTTCTTTATTTCCTCAGATATCTGGGGGATCCTGTTGAAGTCATCAATTTGCACAGGAATTTTGGATACCATTGCACGCCATCCAGCACGTGATTTGTTCACAATAGCCTACGAATGGAACATGCAAGGACTTCATTATGACAAAAAATTCAACCTGCCGCATTTGGTCAATAGCATCTAAATAAATCAAGGATATCGTATAGGTGATCTATCAAGTAAACCAGAAAATTCCCAGACTAAAAGTTTGTTATCAGAATGCTATAATAAACATCTTCGACAGTTGAGTGACATACATTGATTAGGTAACTAATGTACCATGGGAATGCTTAAATTTGTGTTGAAGAATGAGATATCCAAGGATAGAGATGAAAGAAAATGATCACCTGACTAGAAAACAGCGAATTTGGAACTACTATAGGAAATTTTTCTGCACTAAGCAATGAGGTGGTCGTGAGTCCCATCTCTATCACTTGGCCTTCCACAGATCCAGCCTACAAAGAAAAGAGTTGTGATGATAAGGAAAGCCTAAAAGCAATTGAAAAATGCAATGCAACACTATGTTAACTTGATTGCAATATTAAAGCATTATTATCATTTCAACTTTCAATGGCTTCACAATGACAAAAGATGCCACAACAGTATGAAGTCGTTAAAATATATCAAACTATTTGACAATCCATCTACATGTCCGACCACAAAGACCGAATTGATTATCTTCATGCAGATCTTGGGTATCATCCTCGATACTGAGATTAGATATCTCATAAGAAATAGGTCAAATAAGATAGGATGTTCTTCCTGCATACCCATTTGTGGTATGAACCAAGACAATTAACGAACTTTGTAAAGCTCTTGATATGATGCATTCTATTGCCTAGATGCCTGAAATATTTTCTTTTCTTGGCATTGAATATCAATAAAGGATCATATAAAAATCAGATAGTGCCTGAAATTCATGATAAACAATAGAACTATGCCGAAGGTTACAGCTCATGATACCATAAACAGCACACACAGAGGGAATAAAGGGACAACAATATAGTTACAGAAAGATTGTACGCATCAAGATTATGGCCATGATCTGAAGTAGAGATTCTTGGAAATAGTTAATAGCTTCCTAAGGGATTGTAAATTGCTATATATATGGTAAATCAAGCTGGTCAAGGATGTTTGAAGGTGACACACAGGGAATGCTCTATTCTACCAGCATGGAACTTATGTAACAAGTAGCCCTGCAACTCAAGCAATCGGAATATATTTATATATATATATTGTTGTTTTTCTCGGGATATGCATATTCATCACATGAACGCTGAGATTTATCAAAGAAAATGCAGATAGCATAATGTGGAGAAGTGTGAATATATCCCACATAGGTAGTAGATAGAAGATAAACCAGGATTATTGTATATATAGTGGTTTTCCCTGATTAAATATAAGAAAATACACCATTATATTTTCTTACAGAGAGAAAATGTTTCTGTTTTTGTGTATTGTCAGCATAATTTGCCTTTCTCCTTCATCTTTGTCAGCATTAATTGCCAACGGAATCATCATCACACCTATCGACGATGCTATCTCTCTACTGCTGCTGATAGTTGTTGCCATTTTCTCCGGCTTTAACGGCTTCTTCTGGTATTAATTGATGTTCTTCGTACTCTCTTCTAATCAACAGTCTCCTTCAACCTTAATCGACATTCTCCTTCAATCAATGTTTTTTTGCAACCAATTAGTATCAACGTTCTTAATCGTCCTTAATCGATGTTTCTACGGCTGCTGGTTAATCTTAATCAGTGTTTTCTGCAGCTGGTTAGTCGTAGCAGGAAAGTCGCATATTTTGTTCATCATTGTTAGATATCGAACATTGTTAGTAATTACAGTTTTGCTTTAAGTAAGTAGGGATTCGCAATATAGGTTATCCTTTTGTGTTTAACGCATAGAAATCCTTTCTCATGAAACATAAGAGATAATTCCTGCATCTGATTACATGGTATTGGAGCCTTAATTGGTAGAAAAAGCCTAGCTGCCGGTGACGGGATCCCGGCCTTGGACAAATAAATCCCCAGACACGGCCTTCGTCACGTGACTGAGCAGCAGCCACCACTGCTGTCCCCTGTGAAGTCCAGCCTGTTTTCCTCTCAGATCAACTACTTAGATCCAACTGTCATCGTCCCCAGACTCCCAAGGCACCATTTCTGCCGCCTGCCCAACCCCATTCCGCATTGCCCAACTGAGATCCAGCCCTCTCCCATGTCGCCTGACCGAGATCTAGACCCTTGAGTACTGTCCTCCTGCTGCAGCAACCTGTGACAACTGCTTGTTTCTGATCCGGAATTCTAGCGACTGCACTGCTGCTGCTATTGCTGTTCCTCGTCGTCGTTGTTTTATGACTCTTTTTGAGTTAGCAAAGTCGTCAAGTAACAAGACCCTAAGCGGCTACCCATTCTCATCTTGTTCAGTACAAACTTCTTGGGAGACAAAGTTCTAGTGCAACAATTGACATCCACTTAATTTATAATTCTGGGTCCTCCTCAATCCCGGGTAGCATCTGCGGATACTATCTCGGTAACAGCTACCCCACTCGTCAACAATAGGATCCTTGGAAAATGACTTCTCACTTACGGAGAGACCAAGGAAAACATAATTGAATTTTTTGGAAGATCTCTAAGGATTGGGACACAAATGAAGACCAACACTAACAAGTAACAACCTCAAGCAGTAACCACAAGGGACGTAATAAAGTATGTTATTGAACAAGAGAGAGGTGTTTTAGTGCGCACAGTGTATAATAGAATGGAAACTTGAAACCAGTAGCAACCTCATAATAGAATAAAAGAACGCAAAACATTTTTTACATACTTTTATCGTATCTCCAATTGAAAAGGGCTGTGAAAGTTGTACTGACAACCCACTCAGAACATTGCCAAGGATGTCTCTAGCTGCAAAAGCAGTTGCAACTCCTACAAAGATGAAACAATGATCATTAGATTTCAAATTTTATGAGCCTGTTTTGTGTGCATACCAAATTAGAAGTATTCCCTCCAGCTCATAAAATATGCTATTTTGTGCATATGTAAAATGTCATTCTTTCCAGCAGTTTGCAATTCTTACAGAGTAATAACAGGTTTTGAGCAATTTATTGGTTGTATAACTTACTGAATTTTCTTTACAAATAGAAGGAGAATATCTCAATGCAACAAAACTTACCTCCAATCCCTCCAACAGTCAAAATAGATTGCACAGCCACCCCACAGGCTTCAGCTAAAGCCATACCACCAAGGACAAACAAACCAACAGAAGAGATTTTGTCCAACGTTAACAGCTTATCTCGGTCAATACGCTCAACAGGCTTGATAACCAAAGCACGTGTGATGACGTTTGTTTTCCATCGATGCAAAAACCACACAAGAGAAAGTATAAAAGCACCCCTCCAAGCAGGTGCAATGTACTGTGATGCAATTGTTGTTGGAGCTACCATCACGCCTCTATATAGTACAAACACATGTACGAAAAGAAGACTTACATATTAAATTAATATGACGCTATAAGTAAATCCATACAAGTAAGCAAAAAACCAACTTACTAACATTTGTGAAAATGCCATGAAGGTTATGAGATATCTCACCGGAACCTCTAATGCACCCCAAAAGCTTTTCTCATAAGGTACCGCTGCCCACAATGATCCTGCTGGTAGGAGTGAACCTGGCCCTTGCTCTGAGTACCTATGGAATCTTCTAAAAATCCTTGGCAGGATGGCCCATGCTGCAATAGTTCCCATTATGGTTCCACCAACTGGAACGATAACATCTCGAAGATACGGATAGGTGTCAAGTAATTGTTCTACATGGGGAGTCACTTCATCTAAAGCTCCTTTCGCCTTTTCCCCAGTCTGGGATGCAACATTTACACTCGAGTGCCAAGCCTCCTTCACCTTATGAAGCAAATCATTTCCATCAAATCCACTAGTATCACTAACTTCCGACCCACTAGAACTCGAAGCCTGCACATCTTCTCCACGACTACCCGCTGATGATGAATATAATCGTTGATGTAACACATGTGGCGTTCCTAGAAGAAGAAAAGTACTCCGAAGGTGCAAGTTCGATAATCTAGGTGGGATTATGTCCACATTCTTACTCCTACTTTGGTAGGTTGAGTAGTCACCGCTAATGCAAGTAAAACATGGTCTTACTGTGGCCTCAACTTTATTGACATATTTGTTGGGTTTCAGACAAGTATTATACATCAGACGAGACGATTTCGAGATCAGAAACCTAACTCCAGTCATAACTCAAGCATCCAACCGGAACCCTAACTTGTTACAAGAATCCTATACCCCAATCAACCAATCACATAAAGAAAAAAACAGTTAAACATCAGAAAAACAGCACAGTCGTAAACCTAAACGAAATCGGGATCCTAGTATTCAAATTGGAGTTTCAGATAAATTTAAAAGTATACTTACACTAATGCAAGTCAAATTAATACAAAATTGCATAAAATTTTCGACCTAAATTACTCTGCCCCCCGGAGGGCGACGAACTTAAAAGTTCAATTCAGGGAAATTAGAATACAGCCAAATTTCTTTCTAAACAAGATATAACTGTTTTCCACCAGAAGATTTTGGAAAACTTCGATTAGATCCCCAGGGTTTCGGACTATCGGGAAAAGATGATCGACATCAGAGCCGAGACCCAAAAACTAAACATAGAGGTTTTCCGAGAGTTCTTCAACACAAAACCATCAAATCAAAGCCTTCAATAGCGTAGCAAGAAAAGGATCTTCTCACCTATATTCCAATCCAATTGCTTTACTCAGTTTCCCGGCGATAAAAGATGGACGACGGCGATAACTTTATATTCCGGCCAACGTATTATAATTCAAATTAAAAGGTTTATGAGTAACATGTGTTGTCGATTATATATTTTAAATATTAAATATAATTTCTATTATTATAAGATTAAATATTTAATAAAAATCATACTCAAATGTAATTATGATTTATGTACTAGTTTCACTACAATTAGACGAATGCTTTCAGAATTTTTATTTTGATACCTGAGATGTAAAATTTTAAACTTTTAATTATCTAATTCATTTACACTTCAATTAATTGATAAAACAAAAATAATACGTGTTTTTTAAAAACGACATGTACCTTAATTACATGGAAAATATTAAAACACATCATTTTATTAAATCCGAATTTCCCAATAATAAAGATTTCAATGGACGCCCTAAATCCCAATTTTGTGGCCGATAGCTCCTTCAATCGGCGCTTTCTTCTTGCAGGTCTTCCCTCGCTCGTCTTCTACATTGATGCTATCGTGGTGTTAGGTATGTGAAATCCTCGTATTCCTTCTTCACTAACTCGTTGTTTCTGCAGTTTTAGATATTTCTTAAAAAAAAATCAGTTTTTGTGTTTTTAATGTTGAATATGCTATATCAGATTGCAATGAATAGAGAGAAAAAAAAATTTGATTGTTGCTTTGGGAGTGAATTTGTTTTCTATGCATCATATTTAGAATTTTGCAGTAAATCAACTATCAATCCATCACAGTGATATTGTATGCTAATAATCGGTACAAATCCATTGACTTTTAGAAGTCTGATTTCGGATTTCAAAATTTGGACATACAGATCCTCTGAAGCAACCAAATTGAAAAGGTAGCCTAAACTCATAACCAAGTTTCTTCTACCAATTTATTGCCTATTGATAATTCATCTATGATTCCTTAGACCTTTGAAATTGATTTCGTGGTTTATGCGTGAAATTGATTTTATGGTAGGGTAAGAAGGATCTCCAATTTTGGATCGATCCTAATTGAAGATAAATGCTAATGTGAATGTCGTGATGCACCAGATCGATGCTCAATTCATGGGATGGGGATGAGAATAAAAGTGATCAAAGGGTCTGGATCCCTTCTTACGCTTCTCACCTTAACTCGTATTCTCACACGATCATTCGTCTAGTTAGTCCACACTTGATCATTTGCATGTTCTAGGTACATAGTGGGTTGAAGGATGATTTGGTGTAGGGTGACCCTACCGCATCTCGCTTTCTGTTATGGGGTGGTAATCTGAAGTCGGTGCCTTCTAAACTAGTTGACCTGCCTTTCTTTGATCTGAGGAGCTTTGCTGGAAAACTCAGAGCAGGCTTTGGTGCTTTTGTATTTTTCCATGCACGCCGAGTTAGTACCCCCCCCCCCCCCCCAATCATTCATTTTTCCTTTTTCATTGTACATCAACATATAATCTGCTATATCTATTAACAAAAGATACAAGGTGAGATGAATATGTTGAAGAGTTCGTTCGACGTAATCTTGCAGAAGAAGTGATCAGGTACACAACGATACAATAGGTCGTTGCCATAAGATCTCAGTGCCAACAAAGAGACAAATCCCCCCAGATAAATTTGTAACTCCTGCACTGTGATTATAGGACTCGAACCATGGTTTGTTTCTACAAATATACGACTCTGAAATCACATGTGTTACGCTTTATATATGTTTGGAAAGAAATAATCTATACCAAAGGGGTGTTTGGAATTGCTTATTTAAAACAATTTTTTTTTTTGTAAAAGTGTTTATTAACTTATGTGGTATTAAATCGGAGTTTTGTAAAAAGTGTTTGGATTAGCTTATAGCGGTACCAAAAAACAATAAGCTGATAAGTTGTTTTTTAGTGTTTGACAAATTTTGCTTATATATGTAAAATGACCAAAAGTGACAGTTTTTCATATAATAATATTTTTGATTATTAACTTATTTGATTTTTTAACATGTAAAAATTTATTTTTCATCATTTATAATAATATTGTTGACAAAAATTTATATCAATAAGATTAATAATTAACAAACATTAATAAAACATAGTTAAAATGGTAAACTGGTAATAAGCAGTTTTTCATAAGTAAAAAATGATTAACTTATCAAAAACTTCTTATTACCGGTTTGACACCGGTATAAGCAGTTTTTTTCCCTTACCCAAACACTAAAAAACAGCTTATCTCTGGTGCCAGACTGAAATAAGTTAAAAAACAGTTTTGATAAGCAATCCCAAACACCCCCTAAGCATTTAAATAAAAATAACGATTTTAAGAATACAACATTTGATTTTTATGTTAAAAAAACTCAATTTAAATGGTATAAATTCATGAAAATTATCATCTAAAGGTCGATCGTCATACAAATCTTATCTATCCTTTCTCCTCAAAATACTGTTCGTAAATTGTTACAATAATTTCTAAATTTCAAGAAAACTTTGATTTCGTTTGTAGTATCGACAGTAAAACCATGGTGCCATCAACGATTCCTTCAAATTCATTTGCACCAGCCCGAGATCGCGTCCCTCCTACTTGGTAGGTATAACATAATTACCCTGAAATATAACATATTTAATATTAAAAGCAATTAGAGAAATTAAAAGGGAAAGGGAATAAATTATAAAGAAAAGAAAATTGAAAATTCGAAGGTTCAAGAAAGTCTTGATTTATGTTTCCGTTTGTTGGAAGACTGAATGTCGATATAAAGATGAATAGTTACCAGGTGATCTTCGACAAAAGGAAATAAGAACGATAAAAGCCGTAAGGCCTGCCACGACACCAATAACTATGGCTATTGTTTTTCCCACATCGTCGCCTCCAGATGACTCTACAATGTGAATCAAAACAGGTTGCATATATGATTTTGTTTTTTCCTACATGATATTCAAGATATAATGAAGAAAATGGAACTCAACGTTGACAGGATCCAAAATTTCTTTTACCTGAAGGTGAATCATGGTAGCCAGATATCCAATATCGCATGTAACATTGAGCCAAGAAAACATCCCCTGCCTCAGATGATCCACATAAATTTTTTAACTTTGTGATAGCCTCACCAAGACAAGAATTGCAATCGTCTGGACTCAAATCCCCTAAGCATTGTGAAAATCCTTCAATCGAACTCGAGCTACTAATCCTAAACCCCTGATTAGTTTCACCCAACTCAACGAGTACCTCATCACGACGCTTAAGAAATTGCATATCATGACTCACACTGGTGCTACACTTTTTGAACCTTAGGTCGGTATCCAACTTACCGAGGAAATCAAAATGCTCAAATCTCACTAAACACTTATCTAACTGTAAACTACCACTGTATGAGTAAGGACATGCTAACCCCACTTGGGAAACGGCGCCTTCGATGCATTTTGTGCAATCTGGTGTCCTTAAATCACCTCGACATTGGTACAATCCGTAAATTGGAGACTCTGAAGAGGTGTCTGTATCATTTCCAATGGCAAAACTGTTGTATAAGCCTTGAGATGACGATGAAACGAATAAGGATAGTAGAGAGTTAAGGTTGGTTTCGAAAGGGGTATTTGGCTTGAACTTTTCTTCAGAACATCCATAGTAGATGAAGATGCGGGATTTGACCAAGTAAGAGAAGAAAACAACGATGATGAATAACAGGAACAAGGTTGAGGGGAGCCTGCGAAATTTGAACATCATTTAGTTCAAATTGTTGCCTTACGATCTTCCTTATCAAGCTATAGGGTTTCTTTTGCTTTTAAAGTTTGAAGGACCCACTTACAACTCCATTCGATCATCTAGAATAACATACACATAGTGAAAATATAGTATACGAATGTTGTGAATCAAACAAAATTACCAGTATTTCAAAATACTGAAAACAAACAAGTAATTTTGTATCAAGAATGGTAAAAAAATGAAGATACTGCAAAAAAAAACCAAAATTGTTTTACTGGTTCAGATATAGGTCCAGAAAAATCCAAGTGTGTGGTTTCCTAATGACTGTACTTAAGCTCGTGCTTTCATCTGTTTTCCTTTTCACTTTTCCATAGTATTCGCTTACAAAGGATGGATGCTTTGACCTTCTGTATACTTCTTATGTGTATAATGCATGTAGATTTAGGGTTTTCATATATGATTTTAACTGTTTCTTTAGAAAATCAGTTGCGAATCCAAATGGTTTGATTCAAGACACAAGAACAACCATCTAGATCCTAAAAGCTTGGGTGATTAGATTCACAAATTATAAAAATTAAAAGATATTGTTAAGACGTTAAAGTACACTTTCGTCGTGTGTGTGCATATATATATATATATATATATCCAATCATGCCTTATGCTTTAACGTCTTATGTTGAACTTCTGCACTCACGGATAATCATTTATATAAAAAAAAAACGATCAATTATAATAATTTTTATTATGCTTTTTTATGCGTACGACTCTCTTTTATTATTAATTTTTGGTAGCATAAAAACCATTGCTTTTTTATAAGTGGGTATATATTCTTTGTATTTTCTATAAATATATAAAAATAAATAAAGATGCATTTATACTTTTAGAAGAGAATATAAATTATTCTAAAAAGGCCTATTTCCCATCTTACACAAAACCCTAGAAGAAGAAAAGCACCGGATTCCATAATTATTTTTCACATTTATTGATTTAAATAAATATTAGTTATAATATTTAAAAGGATGATTTTTTATATATATCAATTTTTATATTTTATTTAAATTTCTGTATTATTTTGCTACTCTCAATTTTTACAATTATTATGCATCATAACCTCGTAATAGCTCAACCCGTTCGACGAATAGAATTTTTTGAAGTGTAAAAGGTGCATCGGTTAAACTTAATGCTTCAGGGACTTTAAAAATACGAGGAATGCCAACCAAGAACCGAGAGTCCCTTGAAATCAGTCAAAGAACCAAGAAAAATTCTCGAAACCAACGGAAAAACGAAAAGTTTCATTGAAATTAACCAAAAAAACGTAGAAAGTTCCCCAAAATCAACTAAAAAGATACCCTAGTTCGATGAAAATCATGGATCTACTGCTGGTTGCAAGTGTTTCGAGTGATATGATGATTATTCTAATTTATTGGTTATTTTAAAATCCGAAAAATCAAGTGTAGAATTACCAATTAAAAAAAATAATTGTTAATTTCATATAGTGCACAATATTGCATGTTTTTCAATATATTTTTGGTACAATATTTGATGCATATAGTACAATTGTTGAACTTGAATATGTGAAATGAGGATGTTAATGGGCCTTACTGGATAATGGATGCTTCACTACACTACAATAAAACTAAAAGGCCCAAATGTGAACTTCCTTTTTAGTTCTTACCTAGTGATGGCCAAAAACCGGTCCCAAGATTTCTTATAACCGGTCATAATCGATCCCGGTTCGTTCAAAAAAGTTGTGTCCGGTCAAGCTTTATTGTAACCGGTTATGGACGGCCGGTCCTAGTCCCAACCGGTCCCGGTCATTAAAAAACAATTTTTCTATTTTATTTTTTTAATGATATATATTTTTAATACATTTAAAAGTTTGTAATCGGGCTACTAAAATACACTTTAAAAATGCGTTTTACTATAATTAAAATTACATTGTCTTACAAAATATAGCGATAAACCGATAATTGTGAACGTTTTTTTTTGCGTTTTTTGCGAATCAAAAACTTGGTATGTAAATCCTTCGATCAAGACACTTATATATAGTGTTTAGAAAGCAAAAAAAATACAAAAAACAGCTAGTTTTTTGAAAAATAACGGCTACGTTTAAGGAAAAAAATTAGCTAATTTTTTTAAAAAATCGGGCCGGACTGGTCCATAACCGGTCCCGCAAAACACCCAAAATCCATAACCAGTCCTAGATTTCGGTCCTATAATTGGTCTTTACCGGTCTCGGGTCGGGTTGGTTTGGCCATCACTACTCCTTTACTCCTTAAGTCCTTAGTAGAGATGGCTAAAATGGGTCCGGGCCGGCTTGGGATCGGCTTAAGGTCGAGATCTACTGGTCCCAGTAAGTACCGGTTATTTGTTTAGGAAAATTCAAGGCCTGGTTATGAGATCGGGACCTTAACCGGTTATACATAACGCTGATTTCAAAAATAATTAAGATTTCATAAATGATATATCATGTTTTCTAAGATTTTCAAATTTTTTGTCAAAACTTTTGAGTTTTTGAAGTTGTTTTTAAAGTTTTTTTTTTCCAAGTGTTTAAATGCTAAATTTCAAAACTCGGAACTATAAAAACATGTATAACATTTTGTGAAAAAAATGATTTAGAAAAAGATTTAAAGTATATTTTAATGACCCAATTAGAGATTTTAAAGTGTATTTTAATAAGACATTGTCCAAAACAATAAAAACTTCAAACACGAGTTTTTATATGTTAAAAATTGATTTGAAAAAAGAAAATTTCGGACCGATTTGGGCATGGCCCAATACTGGTTCTAGGGACCAGACTTTGTACATGGAAACGGGTTGGGTGTTTTTGGTCGGGACCGGGACCAGTTACCATGAGACTGGTTACAAAAGGAAAATCTCGGGCTGGGATTGATTTGGGCCCGACCCAACTCATGACCGTTTTTGGCCACCCCTACTCCTTAGGGGTGTTATTGGGTCGGATAGAAATTGAATCAGATATATTCATAATTGGATTTGAACAAGAAATTAATAAACAGTAATAGAACCGAAGAAAACCTAATTGTTGTTCGGGTTAATTTCTTAGCAACTTCATGAGTTAATAGGATTCACAACTTATTCGGTTAATTATACATGAATATTTAGTAGTGGCTTAATGATGTAAAAAATGACTTATTCAATAAACTTCTAAGTGAAGCTTTATGTAAAAAGTCATGTGTTTTCCAAACCTTCCCTCCCAATTAAAAACCACACTCATTCCATCTATGAACAAACATTCTCAATCTATACAGACAAATCAATACACAAAAACGACTTTATCCATACGTGACTTGATGAAAAACCAACTAAACAAACTTTTAATTAATTTAATATTGGTTTGGTTTTTGTTTAAAATCAGTCTAGTTTCAAGATGGACAATGAACCCAATACATACGACATGTTTATACTCGTAAAATATAGATATAAAACGACATCATTTTCTAACAACTTATTTAAACTTTTTTTTGTATAAATACATACAATTGTTAATTACACAATTGTTAATTACATCATTTTGCACCAAACCATTCAGCAACTGCCAAACAGTCGCTAAGAAAAGATAATTACAAAAAGAATTGAAATCACAAAAAACAAAAACCAATAGGTATCACGACCAAATAAACTATATTTTACACCAAGTGAAGAATTAAAATGAAAATAGACGAATGAATGAACACCAAATCATGATAAACCACGAGGAAGGATGATTTGAGCCTTTAAGTTTGAGTGCTTGATATGCATTGTGTGCACCAATGTTTTAACATTCATTTCTTCCCTTTTAGACTATTTTATTTTCCTTTACCATCTTAAATTTGAGTCATTTATTACCTTATTTGTCTCTTTGTTATTTCATGGACCTAAAGTAGTGATTATCTGTTTTTATACCAACTGAAGGCTAATTCAACCTTATGGATAGTTGTTTGTGTCGCAACATTACCACACCATTGGATCTGCTAGTTTTGGTGGTGTTTTGAATGGCTTAGTACATTCAGCCACGGATATGCTTTGGAATCAAACTTTTTGTAACTTGGAAATCAAGATTTGAAGGCAAAAATAGTTGATGGACTTCTGGTTATAATTTAATCTATTCATTTAGCTTTTTGTAATTTAATGTTGACTTTATCTTAGCTTAGGGACCAAGTTTGATTGGAAGTTTCACATTGCCCTCCTCTATGTTAGTATAAATATAAGGTATGAGTTTGTGTTTTTGGTGTGGAGAAATCCAATCAGACCTAATCTGATTGTGATGTATGGTTTGAAATATTTGAAGTTTATGCTCAATTTTAACATTTAAATCATCGTATTTTCTTGAATCTTGTTCTTCATTCTCCATTGCTTCTTTGCATTAAGTTCTTTTCATTTTTACGCTTACCGTCTTTAATCTATTATGCTTTCCACTCTTTTATTTATGTCATTTACTTTCAGGTATCAACTTTGATGTCTTTACTTTATGTTCTTTACATTTTCTCGCAATTTATTTTCTTTATGAGTAGCTAAATTTATTAGCTTGGGTGTAAGTTGGAAAATGTGAGATTGTAAACCGAAAGAAAGTAGATTCTTTTATGTAACAACAATGTTTCATTATTTCATTTCAAGTCTTATAAAACCAACTACATTTCTCAACGAGTTGATCATTGTAAAGTGTTAAAGTGTCATGGACTCTAAGTTGAGTCATTGATTGCATATCAATTTGAATGATATGTAGACTTGAGAGAGTTGCTGATAGAGAGATTTGTTATCTATATTTTCTAAATTGGTTAATTCTTGACAAGTTGATCAATTTGAAGTGTTAAAGTGGAATAGACTCAGAGATGAGCCATTCAGAACACGTCAACTTAAATGATATGAGAATTCGCTAGAAAGAGTGACTTTTAACAAAGAAATTTGTTTATCTATATATTTTGTGGACACCATTTGTTACTTTCACTGGTCCGGATACCACATAGAGATATGAGTTGAAAACTATGATATCAGTGCCATTGTGAAGCTCGAGAGGAATACCCTCAAAATAAATGGTGAAAATAGTTGTTAGTAATTGCATGTTGTAGCATTTTGACAGCATTGATCTTCTAGAATT